TCCCGGCGCCGTGACGTCACCGCCAGCCCCGCCTGTCATTCACGGCTCCGGGCGGCGCAGAGCCCCCCCCCCTCCGGTGTGTGACGTCAGCGCCGAGCGGCATGACGTCACTGACAACGTCAGCGGCGCTGGGAGGCGTCACCCACATGGGCGATCCGGCTGCAGCTCTCTCGGGTCCCAGATGCTGCCTGCTCCGCGGGAGCATGACATCACTGATGACATCATCGGGGGGGGGGGGGGCACAGCAGTTTCCAGGCCCCCTGTGGGGCTGCGCAGGGACCTTTGGGAGCCCCCCCCCCCGGCCCAGGGCTGCTCCTGAACCCTGTGTTCATGGGGCTGAACCACTGCAGAGCCCTGGGGGGGCCCCAATGGGCACCCCCCAACTGCCATGGGGAACCTGGCGGGAGGTACCCAGGGCATCAGCCACCCGCAGGCACTGGTGGGACCCCTAAGGACAGGCACCCCCCCACGTGGAACACAGAGGGGGGGACCCACAGCCCATGGGTGCAGGTGCCCCTTGCGCACCCCTTTGAGCCCCCCCCATTCCCAGCCCTCCCCTCCTGCCACTGACACCAAACCCGGGGGGCTTCCCCCAAACACAGCTCCAAGGTCACGCTGCCCCCCCACCCATGGGTGCTGCACCCCCCGCACACACACACACACACACACAGTCGGGGGCTCACAGACACAAACTCTTTATGTGGGGGGGAGCAGCTCCCTGGAAGGGGAAGATCCGGGGGGGAGGCTCCTCGAGGTGTGGGGCTCAGAAGCAGCTCCGGGGGGGTGTCCTCAGTGGGGCAGCTCGTGCGGGATGAGCTTGTAGTGGGCACCGCAGGAGGGGCAGCGCTGAGCCTCGCCCTTGTGCAGCCAGAACCAGACCACGTAGCTGTTGTCCTCTTCGCCTATGGAGGGACAGGAGGAAGAGGAGGAGGAGGAGGGACGGACACAAGCCCGGCCAGGGGGCCGCGGGACGGGGGCTGTCACTTACAGACGCACCCCACGATGCGCTTGTTGGTGATGGACGGGACGAGGTTCGGGTCCTCCTTGGTCCCCGCGTAGCGCTTCGGCCGGAACATGCTATAGGGGTCCTGCGGGGGGGGGGGGGTAACCGTTAACATGGGGGGAGCACCGGGACCTGCCCCCCCACCTCCCCCTCCGAGATCCCGGTCCCGTCCCGCACTCACCAGGCCCTTGCTCATGGCCTCCATCACTTTCCGCTCCAAGCCCGTCGCCTGCTCCTCATCCGTGGCCAGGCGGCCTGCGGGGCAGAGCGCTCACACCGGAGCCCGCGGCTCCCGCAGCCTCCTCCCCGGTTCCGCCCCTCCCGGCTCCCCCCTCTCCGGTCCCGGTCCCGCTCCCCCCCCCCGAGCTCACCGGGCGCGGCGAGGCCCCGGGCGGGCGCGGTGCGGGCAGAGGCCGCGGGCAGCAGCCGCAGGGCCGCGCTCACCCGCAGTAACCTTGAGGCCATGGCGGCGGCGGCGGAAGTGGAAATGGCGGCGGGCCGGGCCTTGAGGAGAGAGCTCGGACACGCCCCCACCGGGAGTGAAGCCACGCCCACTGCGATTGGCCACGCCTCTCCCCCTCCCTCCATGCGGTTGGCTCCGCCCCTGGCCATTAAAGCCACGCCCCTCGGTGCTGCCCCAGGGGTCACCATGGGGCTCGGGGACGGGAGGACCCCAAGGGATGGGGTCACCCCCAAGGGACAGGGACACGGGGGGTTGGGGGGCTCAGGGATGACGTCCATGGGGGTTGGGGGGCAGGAGCACCCCCGAGGATGGAGGCAGGATCATGAGGCCCCTGGGGACAGGGACACCCCCCCGGGATGCCCCAGAGCCTTGGGAACAGGAGGACCTCAAACAGTGGGGACAGCCATGGGGTGATGGGGACAGCGTCTGTGCAGCTGTGGGGACAGGGACCGCCCCCGAGGCACAGGGACAGCCCTGAGGGGATGGACATGATGTCCCAGGGCCGTGGGGACACCGCACCTCATCCACCCCTTTATATCCCCCCCCCCCCCAACCACCCCTTGTGTTCTGAGCACACAACCCATATGCAACCCATAACCACCCCCTCCCCGTGGGGTGTGCTTGTGGCACCCCCAAACCAGCCCTTTTCCAACCCAATTCCAAGGCCTTGTGGTGTGCTTGGCACCCATGGGTGCTGGGGGGGGGGGGGGTGTGTGTGTGGTATCAGGCTCCCCTTTGCACCCCTGTGGCCGGAGAGGGCTGCACCGTGGCGGGGGGGGGGCCATGGGCCGGTGCCAAGGGAGGAGGGCAGGAGGGCCGGCCCCGCCGCAGCGCCGCCCGGACGCGCCCGCTCGCCTCCACCTCGCCCCAGCCCGGGGTGCCGGAGGGGGGGGACACACAGAGGACACCCCGATCCCCGTGGTCCCCCCCCTCTCCCCGCCACCGGCCATGGGCATCCAGGGCATGGAGCTCTGCGCCGTGGCCGTGGTCATCCTCCTCTTCATCGCCGTCCTCAAGCAGTTCGGGATCTTGGAGCCCATCTCTGTGGAAGGTACCGCCCCCCCCCTTTAATTAACCCTAATTAATCCTCATTAATTAATCTATTTTCAGCCCTCCCCACGCCTCTGGGGGTGTTTCTCCCCTTAAAGGACCTGTTGGGCCCATCAATAGGCCCCTTAGGGTCAAACCTGCAGGGTTTGGGGGTTCCCCCCTCTTGGGGGGGGTGGTTGGGGGTGATCCTGAGGGTTTGTGGGTGCGGGGGGAGGAAGCCGCAGCCTCCCCCCCCCGCCCTGCCCCCGCCCTGCCTCGTCATGGCCCAGCCTTGCCTATGGGGCTGGGCTGGGTCCAGCCCCACATAAACACCGCATTGAGGGGGTGCAGGGACACTCCCCACCTCCCCCCCCCCAGAGACCATCTTGGAGGAGCTGGGACCTTTGTGCCCCTTGAGACCCCCCAGGCAGAGTGATGGGGGGACCCCAGCCCACAGTGACCCCCAAACCCTCACAAGGGGGGGTCCCCAATCTCCCATCGACCTCAATCCCCCCAGAGACGAGACATGGGGACCCCCAATTCCCATCTGGAGGAAGGGGCTCAGGGCTCCTCCTTCGCACCCTGGAATGCCCATCGGGAGGAGATGGGGGCTTAACCCCCCCCCGGCAGCACCCAAGGGGTGTGGGGCTCTCCTGCTGCCCCGGCACTGCAGAGCCTGTCCCTGGGCCAGTTTTCCCACCCCGATGCCGGCGCTGAGCGGCTCCGCGGGGGCCTCCCAAGCAGCAATTATTAATGAGGCATCATTTATTAATTACCTTCCGCCGGGGCGGGAGGTTCCGCACCCCGGCAACGCGCTGCTGGAGGCTCCTGGGGAAACCCTGCGATCGGGTGGCGACCCCTTGGGTTCTTCAACCCGGGGGTGCCCTTTTCCCCCCAGCACAAGGGGAGCGTGGGGTCCAGCAGCAGGTCCTTGGGGGGGGGGGGATTGGGATTGGGTGGGATGAGCCGGGAATGATGCGGAGGAGCCGCCTTGCTGGGGGCAGACGGCGGCGATGTCGAGGTGGAGCTGGCGGCCGCGCGGCACCAACCGGAGGAGCTGGAGGAGCTGCTGGCACGGACCAAGTTCTCCAGGCGGGAGCTGCGAGCCCTGTACCGCGGCTTCAAGAGCGTGAGTTGGGGGGGGGGGAACGGGGACCCTCACCCCCAGCGCGGCTGCACCGGAGCCGCGGCCTCACCGGCGCCCGCTTCCCTGCCAGGAGTGTCCCAGCGGCCTCGTGGATGAGGAAACCTTCACGCTCATCTACTCCCGGTTCTTCCCGCAAGGCGGTGAGTGCCGGGGGTGATCCCCATGGGGACAGGGGCCGGGATGCGGTGGCTTCACCGGCTCCCGCTCCCCCGCAGACGCCAGCACCTACGCGCACTTCTTGTTCGACGCCTTCGATGCCGACCGCAACGGGGCCCTCTGCTTCCAGGTGATCCATGAGCTCTTCCTTCGGGATCACAGCTCTGCTCTGGCTGGAGCCGGTGCCAGGGTTGATGCCGGAACTGCGGCACCGGCTTCACCGCGGGGATTAAAAATAGCTGCGAGCGAGAATGGAAACGGGATCAATAGGGATAAAACACAATTCCCACCGGGGCGTCCGCCAGCGCCGGTGCAGGGGTGTGAGATGAGGGTCCCATCCCTCGGGTGCCACAGGGATGTTCCCACTCAACCCCAGTTCCTCCGGCAGGATTTTGTCTTGGGGCTCTCGGTCCTGCTCCGGGGGACGGTGCAGCAGAAGCTGCAATGGGCTTTTAACCTCTACGACATCAATAAGGACGGCTGCATCACCAAGGAGGTGACACGGGGCTGGGAGCATCCCAGGGGATGGGCGCTGGGGACAGAGGTGCCCTCAGCAGAAGGGTCCTTGTCACCGCTCCGTCCCCCTTAGGAGATGCTGGAGATCATGACATCCATCTATGACATGATGGGGCGCTGCACCCAGCCCACGCTCCGGGACTGCGCTCCCGCGGAGCACGTGGAGCTCTTCTTCCAGGTGAGAGCATCCCCCTCGGCCCAGCAAACTCAATGGGGCCAGCACCAGGGCTGCCACTGGGTCCGCGGCTGTCACTGGAACCAGTGCTGTCACTGGCACACAATGGGGCTGTAACTGGGACCAGTGCTGTCACTGGCACACAATGGGGCTGTAACTGGGACTGGTGCTGTCACTGGCACACAGTGGGGCTGTCACTGGGATGGGTGCTGTCACTGGCACACAATGGGGCTGTTACTGGGACGGGTGCTGTCACTGGCATACAGTGGGGCTGTCACTGGGTCCAGTGCTGTCACTGGGATACAATGGGCTGTCACTGGGTCCGTGGCTGCCACTGGGTCAGGGGCTGTCACTGGGACTGGCGCTGTCACTGTCACACAATGGGGCTGTCCCTGGGTCCGGGGCTGTCCCTGGGTCCGGTGCTATCTGTTGGGTCTGGTGCTGTCCCTGGATCCGGTGCTGTCACTGTCACACAATGGGGCTATCAGTGGGTCCGGTGCTGTCCCTGGGTCCGGTGCTGTCCCTGGATCCAGTGCTGTCACTGTCACACAATGGGGCTATCAGTGGGTCCGGTGCTGTCCCTGGGTCCGGTGCTGTCCCTGGATCCGGTGCTGTCCCTGGATCCGGTGCTGTCACTGTCACACAATGGGGCTATCAGTGGGTCTGGTGCTGTCCCTGGGTCCGGTGCTGTCCCTGGATCCGGTGCTGTCACTGTCACACAATGGGGCTATCAGTGGGTCTGGTGCTGTCCCTGGGTCCGGTGCTGTCCCTGGATCCGGTGCTGTCACTGTCACACAATGGGGCTATCAGTGGGTCCGGTGCTGTCCCTGGGTCCGGTGCTGTCCCTGGATCCGGTGCTGTCCCTGGATCCGGTGCTGTCACTGTCACACAATGGGGCTATCAGTGGGTCCGGTGCTGTCCATGGGTCCGGTGCTGTCCCTGGATCCGGTGCTGTCACTGTCACACAATGGGGCTATCAGTGGGTCTGGTGCTGTCCGTGGGTCCGGTGCTGTCCATGGGTCCGGTGCTGTCCCTGTCACCCACTGGCGCTGTCCCTGGGCCCATCCCCGCTGAGCCCCATCTCTTCCCCCGCAGAAGATGGACAGGAACGGCGACGGCGTCGTGACCTTCGAGGAGTTTCTGGACACGTGCCTGAAGGTGGGGGGCTCCCATGGGCTTCATCATCACCCCCCTCCCTCCTCTTCCTCCTCCTCCTCCCCGCTCCTCACCCACCCCGCCATGGGGGGCTATGGCGGCAGCCCCGGGTCTGAGCCGCTGGTGTCTGCACAGGACGAGGACATCATGAGCTCCATGCGCATCTTCGAGGACGTGCTCTAGAGCGGGGCTTCGCGCCGGGTTTTCTAATTAAAGCCACAGCCACGGTTTGGGGACAAACCCCGCGATTTCGGTGCCAGCGGTGCCTCGCCGCTGTCATGGCGGCGCCCACACGGCGGCCGCGCTGCGTATCCTAGCAACGCGGCTGCTCCCTCCCGCCCCGGCTCTCATTGGCTGAGAGGCGGAACTCTGCCCGCTCTCATTGGCTGCACGGCTTAACGCCTCCCTTTTCCTATTGGCTGCACGGCGGGACGCTACCGGCTTTCGCATTGGTGGGCCCCAGGGCGGGGCGGGGACTCGGAGAGGGACGTGACGTAGGTGGCTCCGGGGAACCCCTCGGGGTCGGGGGGTCCCGCACCGGGAGCGGGGGGGGGACGGGACGGGGACGGGGACACCGTGGGGTCGGGGCTGGGGGGCATCGGGGGGGAGATCCCCAGAGATTGGGGCTGGGGGGGGATCCTCATGGAGCAGGACCGGATCCGCTGGGAGCAGGATGGGGCAGGGGCATCCCTGGCATTGCGCTGAGCCGGGGAGGGGGGGATCCCCTCTGGGATCGGAGCAGGGCGGGATCGGGGGGGATCCCCAGGGATTGGGGCTGGGGGGGATCCTCATGGAGCAGGATCGGATCCGCTGGGAGCAGGATGGGGCAGGGGCATCCCTGGCATTGCGCTGAGCCGGGGGGGGGGGGATCGGGGGGATCCCCAGGGATTGGGGCTGGGGGGGATCGGGGGGGATCCCCTGGGGCCGGGGGTTCCTCGGGGCACGGCCGCTGCGGGACTCGCTCCTCTCCGGGCAGGATCCCGGGATGCGCCTGGCCGGGGCCATGCGCCTCGTGCGGTTCCGGGGACCGGGGGGGGCCGAGCCCCGCCTGGGGCTGGAGGTGGCGCCCGGCGGGGAGGCGCTGGTGGATCTGAGCGCGGCGGAGCCGGCGCTGCCCCGCTCCATGCGGGAGTTCCTCAGCACCGGCGGCACCGGGCTGGCCGCGGCACAGAGGTGGGTGACCCCGTACAGGGGTGGGTGCCCCCATGTAGAGATGAGTGCACCCGTACAGGGGTGGGTGCCCCCGTACAAATGTGGGTGCCCCCATGTAGAGATGGGTGCACCCGTACAGGGGTGGGTGCCCCCGTACAAATGTGGGTGCCCCCATGTAGAGATGGGTGCACCCGTACAGGGGTGGGTGCCCCCGTACAAATGTGGGTGCCCCCATGTAGAGATGGGTGCACCCGTACAGGGGTGGGTGCCCCCGTACAAATGTGGGTGCCCCCATGTAGAGATGGGTGCACACGTACAGGGGTGGGTGCCCCCGTACAGGGGTAGGTGCCCCCATATAGATGTGGGTGCCCCCATGTAGAGATGGGTGCACCCGTACAGGGGTAGGTGCCCCCATATAAATGTGGGTGCCCCCATGTAGAGATGGGTGCACCCGTACAGGGGTGGGTGCCCCCATATAGATGTGGGTGCCCCCATGTAGAGATGGGTGCACCCGTACAGGGGTAGGTGCCCCCATATAAATGTGGGTGCCCCCATGTAGAGATGGGTGCACCCGTACAGGGGTGGGTGCCCCCGTACAGGGGTGGGTGCCCCCATGTAGAGATGAGTGCACCCGTACAGGGGTGGATGCACCCGTACAGGGGTGGGTGCCCCCGTACAAATGTGGGTGCCCCCATGTAGAGATGGGTGCACCCGTACAGGGGTAGGTGCCCCCGTACAGGGGTAGGTGCCCCCATATAAATGTGGGTGCCCCCATGTAGAGATGGGTGCACCCGTACAGGGGTGGGTGCCCCCATGTAGAGATGGGTGCCCCCGTACAGGGGTGGGTGCCCCCGTACAAATGTGGGTGCCCCCATGTAGAGATGGGTGCACCCGTACAGGGGTAGGTGCCCCCCATATAAATGTGGGTGCCCCCATGTAGAGATGGGTGCACCCGTACAGGGGTGAGTGCCCCCGTACAGGGGTGGGTGCCCCCATGTAGAGATGGGTGCACCCGTACAGGGGTGGGTGCCCCAGTACAGGGGTGGGTACCCCCATTCAAATGTGGGTGCCCCCATGTAGAGATGAGTGCACCCGTACAGAGGTGGGTGCCCCCGTACAGGGGTTGGTGCCCCCGTATAGAGGTGGGTGCCCCGGTACCCCCAGTATGGAGGTGGGTGCCCCCATACAAAGGTGGCTGCCCCCCATATAGATGTGGGTGCCCCTGTACAAATTTGGGTGCCCCCGTACAGGGGTGGATGCCCCTGTATAGGGGTGGGCGCCCTGGTACAGAAGTGGGTGCCCCATACAGGTATGAGCACCCCCCCATGCAAATGTGTGTGCCCCAGTACAGAGGTGGGTGCCCCCATATAGAGGAGGGCACCCCTGTACAGAGGTGGGTGCCCCTGTATAGGAGTGGGTGCCCCTGTACAGAGATGGGTGCCCCCATATAGGGATGGGTGCCCCCCTACAGAGGTGGGTGCTCCAGTACAAAGTTGGGTGACCGCGTACAGAGGTGGGTGCCCCATACAGGGGTGAGTACCCCCATACAAATGTGGGTGCCCCAGTACGAAGGTGGCTGCCCCAGTACAAAGGTGGGTGCCCCAGTACAGAGTGGCTGCCCCATACAGGGGTGAGTACCCCCATACAAATGTGGGTGCCCCCATACAGAGGTGGGTGCCCCGCAGGGCGCTGGAGTCGGGGGGTCACCGGGTGCCGCGCAGCGCTGTCCAGCTCCTGGCACCCGTGGGTGACCCCGAGAAGGTGATCTGCGTGGGGCTCAACTACCGCGACCACTGCCTGGAGCAGGACGTGAAGGTCCCCAAGGAGCCCATCATCTTCAGCAAGTTCCCCAGCGCCATCATCGGGCCCTTCGATGACATCGTGCACCCCGAGGACAGCACCGTGAGCACCCCCGGGCCCCCAGCGCGGCCCCCGCCATGCGATGGGTGCTCAGTTCCCCCCCGTTCTCCCCACAGGAGGTGGACTGGGAGGTGGAGCTGGCCGCTGTCATGGGGAAGAAGGGGCGGCACATCCAGGTGAGCCCCGGCCCCCTCCTCCTCCTTCCCGTGGGTCTCGGGTTGTGGCCCCACATAGAGAGGTCCCCGTTGTGCCCCCCCAGGAGGCGTCAGCGATGGAGCACGTCGTGGGCTTCACGGTGGCCAACGATGTCAGTGCCCGGGACTGGCAGATGAAGAGGAACGGGCGGCAGTGGCTGCTGGGGAAAACCTTCGACACCTTCTGTCCCCTGGGGCCAGCCCTTGTCACCAAGGAGGCCGTGAAGGGTAAGGATGGGCAGGGATGGGATGGGACAGGGGACAGGGATGGGATGGGACAGGGGACAGGGATGGGGTGGGGACAGGGATGGGGTGGGACAGGGGACAGGGATGGGATGGGTTACAGTGATGGGATGGGACAATGATGGGATGGTGACAGGGATGGGATGGGGATGGGGACAGGGATGGGATGGGGATGGGGACAGGGATGGGATGGGGATGGGACAGTGATGGGATGGGGACAGGGATGGGATGGGGATGGGGACAGGGATGAGATGGGGATGGGACAGGGGTAGGATGGGGATGGGACAGTGATGGGATGGGGACAGGGATGGGATGGGGATGGGGACAGGGATGAGATGGGGATGGGACAGGGATAGGATGGGGATGGGACAGTGATGGGATGGGGACAGGGATGGGATGGGGATGGGACAGTGATGGGATGGGGACAGGGATGGGATGGGGACAGGGATGGGATGGGATGAGGATGGGGTACAGGGATGGGATGAGGTACAGTGATGGGATGGGGATGGGACAGTGATGGGATGGGGATGGGGACAGGGATGGGATGGGGATGGGACAGTGATGGGATAGGGACAGGGATGGGATGGGATGAGGATGGGGTACAGGGATGGGATGAGGTACAGGGATGGGATGGGGATGGGGACAGCGATGGGATGGGGACAGGGCACAAGGATGGGGATGTGACAACGATGGGATGGTGACAGGGATGGGATGGTGATGGAGACAACAATGGGATGGGGATGGGATGGGATGAGGATGGGGATGGGACGAGGTACAGTGATGGGGTGGGGATGGTGACAGGGTTGGGATGGGGATGGGGACAGCGATGGGATGGGGATAGGACAATGATGGGATGGCGACAGGGATGGGATGGGGATGGGACGAGGTACAGTGATGGGGTGGGGATGGTGACAGGGATGGGATGGGGATGGGAACAGGGATGGGATGGGGATGGGGACAGCGATGGGATGGGGATGGGGACAGCGATGGGATGGGAATGGGGCACAGGCTCTTTCCTGACAGACACAAGAGGCAACAGGCACTGATTTGCCCCAAAAGCTCCATGTTTTCCCCACATGGGGGGGTTGTTGGTGGTGGTGGTGGTGGCTCCTCAGCTCCCCCCATGCCCCTCCCTGCGGTGACACCTCCCCTCGCTCCCCACAGACGTCCACAACCTGCGCATCAGCTGCAGCGTGAACGGGCGGGTGATGCAGGACAGCAGCACCAAGCAGCTCATCTTCCGCCTGCCCAAGCTCATCGCATGGGTGTCCCGGTAAGGGGGGGCCGGCGGCACCGGTACCGCCCTCAGGGGCCATTGTGACACCTCCTGTCCCCCGTCCCCCCCAGGTTCGTCACGCTGGTCCCTGGGGACATCCTGCTCACGGGAACCCCCCCGGGGGTGGGCGTCTTTCGGAAGCCCCCCGTGTTTCTGAAGGTGAGGGGAGAGGGGGGGGCAGAACGGGATGTAAAGGCCCCCATGGATGGGCCGGGAGGTGCCAGTGTCTCCCTGCCCCTCGCAGAGAGGAGATGAGGTGCGGTGCGAGATCGAGGAGCTGGGGGTCATCTGCAACAAGGTGGTGTGAAGATGGAGACGGGACCTCGTGCCCCGGTCCGGCTGCTTCCCCCCCTCCTGCCCACCCCACAGCACCCTTGTGGGGCTCAATAAAGCAGGAGCCGGGGCAGGATGCTCTAGGGTTGGATGAACTGCTGGATGAAGGCTTCCAGCCTCTCCCGGTTGGTGCTGGAGCGGAAGGGCTGGGCGAGGTGGAGCAGGGGGCCGGGGGGGCCCCTCACCTCCTCCAGCACCTATGGGGGGCAGATGGGGTGTCAGTGTGGGGCAGCAGGAGGTGCAGGGGGGCTGGTGGAGCCCTTGGTGCTTACCCCCATCTCCTTGAAGGTCTGCAGAGAGCTCAGGGCCAGGCTTCTGTTGGGGAGCTCTGGAGGCAGAGAAAGCCTTGAGGGACCCCCCCCCCCCCAAATCCCACAGCTTGGTTTGGGATGGGGGGGGTGGCCCCAAAGCGGGAGGGAGGCCCCGGGCACCCCCCAGCTCACCAGAGCCCTCCTTGGCCAGGAACTGGAGCAGCTCCTCCACGTAGGCTGCCTCTGTGTGGGGAGATGGGGGTCAAAGCCCAGCACCCCCAAGGCCGGGGCTGCAAAGGGAGCTGCGGCTCTGCCTCGGTTGCCCCAGAGCCCAGCGGGGTTTGGGGGGCCCGGAGGAGCAGTTTCCCCCCGGGGGGGGCTCTCACCGGGCTGGGGCCAGCGGGTTTGCCCCAGGAAAGCCACGGCTCCAGCGTAGGTGCCCAGCACGGGGCTGAGGAGCCGGCAGAGGAAGAGGAGGAGGCGGGGAGAGCCCTGGGGCTCCCCGAGCTGGACGGGGGGAAGCAGAGCTGAGTGCGAGCACCCTCACCCCGTGGGGGTGACAAGGGGACACCCCCCCCCCACAGGGACCTTGAAGCAGCGGCGCAGGGGCCCCTCGTCCTCGCTGTCGCTGTCGCTGAAGTCCATCCTGGGCTGTGCCTGGCGCCGGCTGAAGGCCCGCGGGGCCGTGTCGCAGACCCAGTGCTCGCCCTCCGGCTGTGGGGACAAGCCGGGCCCTCCGGAGCCACCCTACAGCAGCGCCGTGTCCCCTGCAGGGGGGGCTGCGGGGGGGGCACCCACCTCCTCTGGCTCCAGCACCCCGCACAGGACGAGCTTGTCCACGATGTCCTCGCTCCAGCAGCCCAGGGGCTGGCAGGGCTGGGACGGGAGGAGGAGGAGGAGGAGGAAGAGCGGGGCTGGTTGGTGCCCGGTCCTCCCCCTCCAAGCCACGCAGAGGCCACCGTGGTGCGATGGCGATGCCACCCTGTGCCACCGGCCCCTACCCGGAGCCCCAGCACGTTTGGGGGCAGCAGCTGCAGCAGCTCCAGGGTCTTGCAGTGCAGCTCGTCCTGGCTGAAGATGATGCTGGAGGCTTGGCTGGTGGGCTCCAGGAAGGGCATCACCTCCGCCAGCAAGGCTCGGATGGCACAGGCTGCAGGGATAATGGTGTTACCGGTTGTTCTGGTGTCACCCACTGTCCCAGTGTCACCCATTGTCCCAGTGTCACCGGTTGGCCCAGTGTCACCCATTGTCCTGGTGTCACCAGTTTGTCCCGGTGTCACCAGTTGTCCCTTTGTCACCAGTTGTCCCAGCGTCACCCATTGTCCCAGTGTCACCGGTTGTTCCAGTGTCACCGGTTGTTCCAGTGTTACTGGTTGTTCCAGTGTCACAGGTTGTTCCAGTGTCACCCATTGTCCCAGTGTCACCGGTTGGCCCAGTGTCACCCATTGTCCCGGTGTCACCAGTTGTCCTGGTGTCACCAGTTGTCCCAGTGTCACCGGTTGTTCCAGTGTTACCGGTTGTTCCAGTGTCACCGGTTGTCCCAGTGTTACTGGTTGTTCCAGTGTCACCGGTTGTCCCGGTGTCACCAGTTGTTCCAGTGTCACCGGTTGTTCCAGTGCGACCCATTGTCCTGGTGTCACCGGTTGTCCTGGTGTCACCAGTTGTCCCAGTGTCACCGGTTGTTCCAGTGTCACCGGTTGTCCTGGTGTCACCCATTGTCCCGGTGTCACCGGTTGTCCCAGTGTTACTGGTTGTTCCAGTGTTACTGGTTGTTCCAGTGTCACCCATTGTCCCAGTGTCACCAGTTGTCCCAGTGTCACCGGTTGTCCCAGTGTTACTGGTTGTTCCAGTGTCACCCATTGTCCCAGTGTTACCGGTTGTCCCAGTGTTACTGGTTGTTCCAGTGTCACCCATTGTCCCAGTGTCACCGGTTGTCCCAGTGTCACCGGTTGTCCCAGTGTTACTGGTTGTTCCAGTGTCACCCATTGTCCCAGTGTCACCCATTGTCCCAGTGTCACCGGTTGTCCCAGTGTCACCGGTTGTCCTGGTGTCACCCATTTTCCCAGTGTCACTGGTTGTCCCAGTGTCACCGGTTGTCCTGGTGTCACCGGTCCCACTCCACGCCTCGCTCCTCACCTCCCACCGCCTCGCTGGCGAAGATGGGCAGGATGGCAGCGCTGTGGTGGCCCAGCTCCATCCAGGTCCGTGCCGAGGCCTCGGGGACCACCAGGACGTCACCGAGGGGGGAGAGGTGGTAGAGGTGGAGGCGGGCCCTGAGCAGGATGAGGCTGTGCTGCACCAGGGCACGGAGCTGCCCCGAGAAGCCCACGTCCCGCTGGCGCAGCAGGATCTCCTCCAGCAGCCAGGCAAAGTCCTGCATGAGCCGGGAGAGGAAGACGCCCTGGAGGAAGAGGAGGATGAGCAGGAGGCTCCACCAGGAAGAGAAGCCTGGAAGCGAAGCTCTCCTCCTCACCTCCCGGTACTTGTGCAGCAGCAGCGCGGACGTGATCCCCACGGACATGACGGCGGAGCAGGACACGCTGTCTGGGAAGGAGGGAGGAGGGAGAGGGATGCCTGGGAGTGAACAGCAGAGCCAAGGGGTGACCCTGCACGGACCGGCTGAGGACGGACCCCGCCACCCCTCACCGCTCAGTGAGTGCAGGCCCAGGTTGGTCACCAACTCTTCCTCTGGTGCCTCCAAGCTGGTGGCCTTGGTGGAGCCAGGAGCCCCGAGCCCGGTATTGCCGGCATCCAGGTGGCCGGGCCTGTGGAAAACGGGGTGAGAGGGGTGAGGAAGTGCGGCCGGGAGCCCCCGAAGGCTCCGTGCTGCCTGAGGCTGGGTCCTGCTCACCACGTGCCGAGGATGCTGGGCAGCAGCAGCAGCTCCTCCGGCTTCCCTGCGTACCTGCCAGGGCTTTTGGCCACGAACTCCTGGGAATGGGGATGAAGGAGCTGTCGGTGCGCACCGGAGCATCACCGAGCTGACCGGATCCACTGCAGCTTCCCATAGAGACGGGCTCAGCAGATCCCCTGACACCCCAACCGCCCCCATCCCGAGGCTCCTGCCCCACTGCCCTACCTGTAAGGAGAAGGGCTGGGCAAAATCCACCCGGACACAGCCGAGGTTCCGGCGCAGGGCCCGTAACGCTGCCCAGAGGCAAGCGCCGATGCCGAGGGGCTGAGCGCCGCGCTGGGAGGGGGGGGACAACACCGAGGCGTTATTGGGGTGCCCGGGGGTGAAGCGGGGGCTGCACTCCCCCCGGCAAAGAGCCCCTCACCGCTGCCTCCGGCTGGGATCCACCGGGGACCACGTCGTAGCCGATGCCCACGGGGACGAGGAGGACGTCGGGCACAGCACCGGCGCGCACGGCGCCCTGCACCAGAGCCAGCCAGCGCCGGGCCGAGGCCGAGAGGTGCAGCGGCACCGCGGGCTCCTCCAGGAAGATGAGGAGAGGCTGCCGGCTCCTCAGCACCTCCTCCACGTACTGCAGGGGGAGCGGGGTGAGGCTGGGGGGGCACCCACGGCTTGGGCAGCCCCTGCTTTGAGGCACCCCCGAACACCCCCAGCACCCACCGCAGCCAGCACGGCCCCTGGGAGCGCATCCTCCGGGTCTCTCCGTGTCTGCTGCTCCATTCCTGCAGGCAGGAAAACCCCTCCGAGGCGCCGGAGCAGGGATCTGCGGGGGGACAGGGGACAGCCGGCACTGGGCTGTGTCCCGCTGGGTGCCCCCCCCCCCCCCCCCCAAGGACTGCCCCACACCGGTGCGTGCCCGGCCTTACCGGAGGCGAGGGCTGCAGCCCTGGGCGCCCACCGTCACCCTGGGCACCCCTAACCCCTGGGAGAAGAGGACGAAGGAGAGGAGCGGCCCATCCAGCTGGGATTTGTGCGTGGAGAGGAAAACCAGGGGCACGCGGGGCTGCAAGGGAGGCGTGGGGGCTGAGCGCCGGGGGGGCCGGCGGCGTGGGGCCGAGGGCGGCTTCAGCGGGTGCCCACCGTGCTGGCTGCCCTCAGCACCGTCTCCAGCTGCCCCCGGTGCAGCTGCACGCTGAGGAACAGGCGGCTCAGGAGCTTCAGCAGCGCCCAGTGGCAGATCCTGCAGGAAAAGCAGGGAGGGAAGAACCCCCCCCACCGGGCCACGGCCACCCCCGTTCCCTGCCTCGGTGTCCCCATGGAGCAGCAGGGCCCGGCTCAGCCCCATCCCGGAGGGAAGGAGCTGCTCCCTTTGGCTTGGCTTTGATTTCCACCCTCCCGGTTGGGGGTTGGTTTAATCCCTGCCTTCTCTGCCCCGGTGTCACATCCCCTGCAAGGAATCTGGGGGGGAAATATCCCCAGGGAGCTGTGAGGGACCCAAAGGGTCCTCCTGCACCCCTTCAAGCCCCCTGGTGTTTCCCACAGCATCCCCCTGCATTCCCAAGGAGACGGCACCAAGCACGAAGCCCCCACTCAAAGCCCATCCAAAAGGGGCTTGATAAAGAGCACGAGAGCCCTGGAGAGGAGGGGAAGGACTGGGAACGCCCGAGCCAGGAGCTGGGCTCCCTCCAGGAGGAGGTGGGAAGTGGCAGGGAAAGGGGATCCCAGCCAGGGAGGGAGCCCAGACCTCAGCATGAGCAGGGAGAGCGGGGCCTGGATGTCACCCAGGAGCTCCAGGATCTTCTCCTTCCATCCATCCCCCCGTGCCGGGCCACGGGCGGCAGCAGCATCCTGCACCCTGCGGAGGGATGGAGGAGGTGGAAGCATCCCGGCCCCCTTGCTCCAGCCACCCGATGGGATCCCCCAGAGCCCCTCTGCCCGCTCCCACCTCCTGCTGCGGCAGAGCCGTGCCGGGAGGTCCCCAGGGGTGTCAGCAGGAATCCGCCAGGAGCAGACAGCCAGGAGCCCGCAGACCCTGCGCGCCAGCCAGCCCCGGAACCTGCGCACGGGCACAGGGAGCCGTGGCAGAGGCTGCTCCAGGCCCGGAGCTCTCCCTCCCTCCCCACCTTACAGCTCCTGGGGCCAAAGGAAAAGGCTTGGGATGGGCGCAGCCCCGGAGCTGGGAGAGGAGGGAGAGGATGGAGCATTGGGAAGAGGCTGGGAGCCCGCGTGAGCTTGTCCCTGTGCCGGCTTCCAGCCCCCCAAACAGCCCCTCCTTGGAGGCACGACGGAGCAAGGCTGATGGAGAGGCGTCCCCAAGGCTCCTGCGCAGCAGGGGAAGGGGTTTCCATGGGGATTGGGAATTCCCTGGGGGATAAAGCACCGTTTATGCCCCGGCCTCACCGCGTGTCCTTCTCCGTCACCCGGCTGATGTCGCGGAAGCCGAGGGAAGGGAAGCGCTCGGAGTAGAAGCCATCCTGGAAGCAAGGAGGGAACGGGCATTATGGGGGTTCAGCCCCACATCTCCGGTGCCGAGATGGGGCTCATCCTCGCCACCAGCATCCCAAGATGCCCGGGGTAGCTCCACGAGGCTCTTACCCAGCTCATGGGGGTGCAGGTCTGGCAGCAGCGCCCCGAGTCCGGGTGGCACCTGCCCAGGAAGGGCAGCACGACCTCCACCCTCTGCCCCCCAACACAGAGCCACGTTCTCATCTGCGGCAATGGCAGAGACCGGGAGGCTCCGGGAATGCCGAAGGGGGGGAATTTCCCCCCCAAAACACTGAGCAGAACTCACTGCATCGGGGGGGGACGGGACAGGGAGATGCCGCTAAGGGGAGATCAAGGGGGGGTCACCCACGTTTCTCACTCAGACCCGGATCCGCTGGGATCAGCACTCGGGAAGGCTCCAGCAGCAGGTTCCGTGCAGGGAGGAGCCCTTGGAGCAGAGCAAAGCTGTGGGGCACAGAGCAGGGGGGCTCAGTGAGGGGTAGGGGGGGGGCCCTCATCCCACCAGCCCAGGACCAGAGCCGTGGGGCAATGGCGTGAGGCAGGATGTGACCTGTGGGGTGCTGGTGGCGTGAGGGGAGCGGGGTCACCCCCTTGCTGGGGGTCCCCTCCGTGCCCACCCTTGTCCCCAGGGGGTCCGGTACCTCGGGATGGGGCTGTCCTGGTGGAGACACAGCCCTGGGTGTGGGGCTGGGGCGGGGGGCAGCAGAGGGGCTGGGATGCTCCAGGATCCTGGAGAACAGGAGGTGGGAATGGGCAGAAGGGGTCCGTTGGGAAGGTTTAGACCCGTGTCCTTACAGGCACTTGTGGGGTGGGTAACACACCCCATAGAGGCCCCAACACCCCATAGGGACTGGAGGGGAGTCCATGGGGGACCCAATGTTCCCTATGGGGGGCGGGGGGAACCGCAACCCCCAACACCCCTTACAGAGCCTTGAGGGGGAACACACCCCACACAGGCCCCACACACCCCATAGGGTAACACCCGCCACAGCCCCTATAGGGCCTTAGAGGGGGTTATGGAGGATGTGGATGGGGGGGGGCAGCACACCACACGCTCCCTATAGGGCCTGGGGGGGGTTATGGGCCCCACATATCCCATAGGAGCAGGGTTACACAGCCCCACACGGGCCCTGCGCACCCCATAGGGGCTGTGGTTGGGAGTGAACGCATCCCACAGCCCCTGCAGGGCCTTGGGGGGGGGGTTACGGCCCCACACGAGCCCCACATCCCCCCCCCCAAGCCCCACTCGAGGCCCGCGGGGCCCCGCGCCCACCCCGGGCCCGCTCTCCCGCGCTCACCGCCGCAGGCCCGGCCGCTGCTCCCGCTCCGCCCCCGCGGAGGGCGGCACCGGCCCGGCCGGAACCCCCCGGGCCGCGACCCCGGCCCCGCCCGCGGCCTCTGGAGGGGGGGGCTCGGGCTCGGCGCCACCGCTGGGGTTACCCCGGGCCCCGCTCCCAGACCCGTCCCTGTGCGGGAGGGGCGGAACGAGCGCGGGGGCTGAGGCGCGGCTCGGAGCGTGCGGGCCCGGAGGGTCCCTGGGGAAAGAGGGGGCGAGAACGGGGGGGAAACAACGGAGAAGGGGAAGGGATGGGGGGGAATGGGAGAAGAGAAACGGGAAAATAGGGAAAGGGAAGAAAAACGGGGAAAAAAAGATTAAAAAGGAAAAAAAAACGACGAAAAAGGGGAAAATAAGAAAAAACGACAAATAGGGGAAAAAGAAAAATAAGGAGAGAAAAAAGAAAAAAAATAACGCAAGAAAAAAAGGAAAAATAAGACGGAAAAAGAGAAAAAAATGGAAAAAAGGAGAAAAAATGGAAAAAAAGGAAAAACAAGGAAAAAAGGGAAATAAGATGAAAATATGAAGGGGAAGTACAATAAAAAGGGGAGGGAAAAAAGGAAAAATAAGAAAAAGGAAAAATATCACGATAAAATGGAGAAAGACGATAAGAAAGGGAAACAGTATATGAAAAAAGAGGGAAAATATAGAAAAAAGGAGAAAAAAAGGCAAAATACAATAAAAAAGGATAAAAAAAGTGAGCAAAAAAAGAAAATATAAAAATGGAGGGGGGGGGGAGGGAACAGGCAAGGAAAAGGGAAAAAAAAGACAAAAGGGAGGAATAGAATAAAATGGGGCTGAAAAGACATTAAAAAAGAGAAAAAAAGAAAATATAAGGAAAAAATACAGGAAAAGAGAAATAATGAGGGAAAAAAGAAAATACAATTAAAAGGGAGGGAAAAGAAAATACAAAAGTAAAAGAGGGGAAAAAAGCAAGAAAAAATGAAAACTTCAATTCAAAAAGAGGAAAAAAAGGGGAAAGACAAGGGAAAAATGGGGAAAAAAGAGAAAATCCCAGAGAACAGGGAAAGCAGAGGAAGGAAGCCCCTTATTGCCGGGCACTCATTGCCAGTTGGGAGCGCAAAGCCCAGGCAGCAGCAGGCTGAGGCCTGGCCAGGGCTCATCCCACCTCCCACGGCAGCCAAGGGGCAGAAACCCTCATTTCACCCCATTTTAACCCAATTTAACCCACTTTAAGTGATTTTGAAGCCAAACCCCTGGAATTTCCAAGGCTTTTTTTCTGCTGCAAACCCGGTTCTGTTGCTACGAGCCGGGGGAGGTTGGGAATGAAGGCATCACCATGGCAACCCCTGGGATGGTTTGGGGGGTTCTGGGGGTGCCGCTGCCTGTGCCCCCCCCCCCCCCATGGGGCCACCCTATGGACCCCCCCCCCCGCACGCTGTGGGGCGCAGCCGTGGGGCAGAGGACGCGGTGCTGGCGGCGTGCGCGGCCCCGCGGCTCCAGCCCCGTTCACACGACCTCTCCCACCCCGAGCATCGTCCCAGCGCGCCGGGACGGGAGAGCAGCCAGGCTGGGAATGGGCTTCCCAAAGCTCCGGTGGAGCCGGGCGGGATGGAGGCGGGGAGATGGGGCCGCGTCCCCTGGGAAGGGGGCTCTGGGGTGGTGGTACCTCAATGGGGTCAGCGCGCGCCAGGGTGAGTCACGGCGCATCCGTTCCGTGTGAGTGGGGATGCACCAACACGAGTCACGACACAGCCGTGGGGGTCGCAATCTCCTGCTGCGGGTCACGACAATGCCACTGCAAGCGTGGGTTGCCATTCCCTGCTGTGGGTCACGATGTGGTGGTGTGGGTCACGATGTGGTGGTGTGGGTCACGATACGGTGGTGTGGGTCACGATACAGTGGTGTGGGTCACGATACGGTGGTGTGGGTCACGATACGGTGGTGTGGGTCACGATATGGTGATGTGGGTCACGATACGGTGGTGTGGGTCACGATGTTGTGGTGTGGGTCACGATGTGGTGATGTGGGTCATAATGTGGTGTGGGTCACGATATGGTGGTGTGGGTCACAATGTGGTGTGGGTCACAATACAGTGGTGTGGGTCACGATATGGTGATGTGGGTCACGATATGGTGGTGTGGGTCACGATGTTGTGGTGTGGGTCACAATACGGTGGTGTGGGTCACGATATGGTGGTGTGGGTCACGATATGGTGGTGTGGGTCACGATACGGTGAAGTGGGTTATAATACGGTGATGTGGGTCATGATATGGTGATATGGGTCACGATGTGGTGATGTGGGTCGCGATGTGGTGGTGTGGGTTACGATACGGTGATGTGGGTCACGATATGGTGATGTGGGTCACGATACGGAGATGTGGGTCATGATACGGTGATGTGGGTCACGATACGGTGATGTGGGTCATGATACGGTGATGTGGGTCACGATACGGAGATGTGGGTCACAATACAGTGATGTGGGTCATAATACAGTGATGTGGGTCACGATATGGTGATGTGGGTCATGATACAGTGGTGTCGATCACTGTCATGCATCACAATACACCAGTGTGGGTTGCGATACGGTGGTGTGGGTCACGATATGGTGGTGGTCACCACGCTGCTGTGGGTTACCCCAACCCAATTGTGGGTCACAACCCATGAACCCTCTTGAAATGCAGCACCAAGGCGGGCAGCAAAACCCCTATATGAGCCTCCCACGAATCCCCACTGGGCCCCCGAGGGGGGGTTGAACGCCCTCAGGGCCAGCAGCTGGTTCATCACTTGTGTTTAATTAATTAATTATTATCATTATTATTTATTCCTTCTATAATTTATGGTGCTGCCATAAATAACACCACCCCCCCCCCCAACATCATGTTCCTGCTGCTGTCCCCAAGTGTCCCCAAGGGATGGGGGGGGGGACACGACACACACGACACGATCACACCCCCAGCCCCCCCCTTGAAAACAAGGGAATGGTTTTCTTATTCCAAAATAGTTTTTATTGTTGAAAGGCCTGGGGGGGGGGGTCTCTTGGGATGGATCCCCCCATTCCATGTGCCGGGTCCCCATGGAAACCTGGCAACAAGCAGCCATGGGAGGGGGGGGGCACCCATCATCACTTTGGGGGGCTTCAAAGCTCAACCCAACACTGAGCGCAGGCAGGAGGAGGAGGAGGGGGTGTGGGAGCCCCTCACCAGGGCGTCGGGGCCCGGCAGCGGCACAGGAGCCGCCGGAAAGCCTTGCGGAAGTCCTGGTTGAACACGGTGTAGATGACGGGGTTGAGGGAGCTGTTGCAGTACCCGATCCAGAAGAAGAACTGGAAGACGCCGTCGGGGACCTTGCAGCGCCGGGGGCAGAGCGCGCCCAGGCTGTAGAGGAAGAAGAAGGGGAACCAGCAGAGCACGAAGACGCCGATGACCACGGCCAGGACGAAGGTGAAACGCTTCTCCCGGTTCACCTGAGCCTTCCTCCTCCAGGGGGTCAGGGCTGGCGAGCGCCGCGCCAGCACCACGCGCCCCGTCCCGGTGGCCACCGTGTCCCTGCGGGGTCCCGCGGGCGGTGGGGACGTCCCTGCCCCGGCGCTGGGGGACGCTGGGGGTTCCTCGGGGCTCAGCAGCGAGGTCCTGTCCACCGGTGGAGGGGCGCCGGCGGCCGGCGCGGGGATGCTCGGTGGCACCGGCGGGGGTTTGGTGGCGCCGGAGCGGGCGCGGTGGCGGCGCCTGGCGATCAGGTAGATGCGCAGGTAGACGAGGATCATGATGAGGCACGGGGCGAAGAAGGAGCCGACGCTGGAGGAGAGGATGTACCAGGCCTCTTCGTTGAGCTTGCACTGCGGCCGCTCGCCCGCCGCAGCCTTCTTCTCGCCCTTGTAGACGAGCGGCGGGAGGGAGATGGCGGCGGCGATGGTCCACACGATGAGGATGCCGCACTTGATGCGCCGCGGCGTGCGCTTGGCGTTGTACTCGATGGCGCGGCTCACGGCCCAGTAGCGGTCCAGGCTGATGGCGCAGAGGTGCACGATGGACGAGGTGCAGAAGAGCACGTCCAGAGCCAGGTAGATCTCGCACCACGTCCTCTCGAAGTACCAGTAGCCCAAGAGCTCGTTGGCCAAGGAGAAGGGGATGATGAGGGTGGCCACCAAGATGTCAGCGGCTGCCAGCGACACCAAGAAGAGGTTCTGGGGTGCCTGCAGCGAGCGGCTGCTCAGCACGGCCATGATCACCAGCGCGTTGCCCGCGATGGTGAAGAGCACCAGGAAGGTGATGGCAGCGGCGATGGCGGCGGTGGCTTGCACCGAGTACCCCCCCGGGGGGCTCCCCGTGCTCCCAGAGCCTGTATCCATCTGGATGGATGCGGCTGCTGTGCTCAGTGGTGCTGTGGGGTGCAGGAGGGCCAGGACACCGGGTGCTGGGGGACACTGGTGTCCCTTCCCATGCTGCCTGCCCTGCCTGCACCCCCCTTACCCTGCCTGCACCCCACTGCCCTGCCTGCACCCCCCTTACCCTGCCTGCACCCCACTGCCCTGCCTGCACTCACCTTACCCTGCCTGCAGCCCCCTTACCCTGCCTGCACCCCACTGCCCTGCCTGCACCCCCCTTACCCTGCCTGCACCCCACTGCCCTGCCTGCACTCACCTTACCCTGCCTGCACACCCCCTGCCCTGCCCGCACCCCCTTTACCCTGCCTGCACCCCCTTTACCCTGCCTGCACCCCCGTCCTGCCTGCACTCACCTTACCCTGCCTGCACCCCACTGCCCTGCCCACACCCCCTTTACCCTGCCCGCACCCCCTTTACCCTGCCTGCACCCCACTGCCCTGCCTGCACCCCACTGCCCTGCCTGCACCCCCCTTACCCTGCCTGCACCCCGCTGCCCTGCCTGCACCCCCCTTACCCTGCCTGCACCCCGCTGCCCTGCCTGCACCCCCCTTACCCTGCCTGCACCCCCCTTACCCTGCCTGCACCCCGCTGCCCTGCTTGCACCCCCCTAACCCTGCCTGTAACCCCCTGCCCTGCCCGCACCCCACCTCTTGCCGCCGCTGTCGGTGCCGCTGCCCGTCCCTGCCGGTACCGGTGCCGTTGCCGGTTACCGGTGCTGGTATCGATGCCGCTGCCGCCGGGCTCTGCGCTGCCGAGCGCCTCCTCCGCGGGGTTTTAAGCGGACGCGGGGGGGGGATGAAGCAGCCGCCGCCCCTGGGGCGGAACCGGGAGAGGGGACCCGGTGGGGCCGCGCTGAGCTCCGCTCCCTCCCCAGGCCCCTCCGGCCCCACATCCCCCCGTACCCGGGTCCCCCCCAGCACCCTCCATGCCCCCAGCACCCTCCCGCAGCTCTTCCTCCATCACCTTTTACCTCCCAGTTTGGGCTTTCTCCTCCCTTTTTAGGCCCCGAGGATGTGCTTGGAGCCCCACATCTGACCCCGGCAAACCCCACGCTGCCCTTCCCCACGCTCCAGCCACAGGCCCAGAAGCAGCTCCAAGTCCCAAAGGCTCTTTTCCATCCAAAGCAGCTGAGTTGATTCTATTTTTCCTCCTTCTAACCACTTCTGTCAGTGCCAACACACACAGTGACACCCCGGGGACTCCAGCGTGCAGAGGACGAGCTGTCCCCAGCACCCAGCAGTAACACCCAGTGGGCCATCTCCCACCCTCCTGGGTGCTGCTGGAGCCGGGACTGTACTTTGGAACACCATCTCCATGCTCCAGCATTGCTAAACTGGGGGTACAGATGGGAGCGTGAATGTGGGACACACGCACGGACTATCCCAGCCCCACGGCTGATAAATGCACCCTCTCGTCCACGTTTTCCTCCTTCACATCCAGATTCCAGCCTGGAAGGATTGTTTCTGGGGGGTTTGTGCCACAAGATCTCTCCCCTCGGTGGCATTCCAGGCTCCTGGCTCGGCCAGGGGCCCCTCTCCTCGCCCTGCGCCCACCAGCGAGCCCCATAACCGGCACTAGGAGCCGATCCGGGCTCTCCCTATGGATCCTCTCCCGGTGTTTCAGCCGAGCCGGGGCTCACCCTCCAGGTCACACAGGCCAGTGAAGCTGAGCTCCCGGCTGGAAGGGGAAGGAGGGGATGGGGGGTCAGGACCCTCGGCTGTGGGGCTGCGGTTCACAAAGGCTTCCAGGGATTTCAGGAGCTGCTTCGGCTTCCTTTTGGTGGATGACTCCAGCTCTGAGGAGGGCAGAGGGCAAGGTGTGAGGATGGAGAGTGGGGACGGGGTCAGGGATGCTCTAAAGCTGCTGTCCCTACAGATCCCCTTGGGAAAGGCTGCCCCATTTTCCTCACCAAACCCCAGCTAAGCTCAGCACCATCCCAAGATCCCCCCATAAGGGAATCCCGGGGTGAAGATGAAACAAGGAGCGGTTGGGGGTTTCTGGGGGTTACAACCCTCAGGCCAGACCCAGCGGGACACTAAGACCATGCCGGGTTCGGCCTTGGGTTGTTTCCCTTGGGAAAGAAGGAGGAAAACCCGGGACACAAACCCTTCAGGAGGAAGCAGGAGTCGGCGATGGTCTTGTGCTGCCCCTTCCAGACGCGGTAGAGCCGCAGGAAGGCGGCTGCATAGAGGTCGTTGAGCACAGCAATGACCTGCTGCCGGCGGTTGCACTCCCTGCAAGAGGTGCAGAGGGGCTGAGCCAGGGCCTGGAGCGCTGGGAAGCAGCTCCAGATCCCAAATCCCTTCCTGGCCTGCCTATGGGAACTGCTGGAACGCACCGGGAGAGCCGCTCCTCCCGCAGGGCCTGCAGGACGATGCGGGTGATGTTCACGGACATGATGCCGAAGGGGAATTCCTGCAGGAGAAGGAGTGTTACGGGAATCCCAGCTCGCTGAGGTGCCCACACAACCTCCAGCCCTTCCACACCGCCCCAAAGCCGTGGGATGCGGCCTGCAGGCCACAAATCCACGCGGCAGGATAATGGTCCTGAGAATACAGCTTCGATGGATGCTGCACGACAAGATCCAGGCTTAACCCCAACTATGTCCAAGATGAAAAGACCACGTTTACGGAGACACTCGCTCCCGTTTTTCACTTGGATCTTTGTGATTCCCACTCCCGGAGCGTTAGGAATTGTTAAGGGAGGACCTGCCTGGGTTTCGTGCTGGGACAGTTTGAAGATGTCCAGAGCCAGAGGCAGCATCTGAGGGTCCATGACGAAGAAGAGCAGCTGCATCAAGGCCAGCATCCCTGTGCCTCGCAGGTCTGTCCCGGGATCTGTGCCTGGAAGGGTGGGATGAGCCTGGAGTCATTCCCTGTCACCTCCCTGCTCCCATGGCCTTTTACACCACTCAAATCCCTTCAGGAACTGCATCCTTAGGACAGGTTTTTGAGGGGGTTCCCAAGCCGGTGTTGTCACCTCCTCCCTGTTGCTCCCCCACCCATGGGCCCATTCCCAACCCTGCTCCAGGAATGAGCACCTTTAAGCTCGACCAACCCCAAGACTGTGAAGCATCACCTAAAACCAGTTGTGGAGCCACAGGAGCTGCTGGGTTCAGGCTTTGTCTATCGAGTGAACCAGAAGGTGCCGGCGAGGCCACGTGTGACACCTTTAATCACCCTGGGTCTCTTAATGACATTGTTTTTCTTACCCAGCTGAGGCCACCTCAGTGACAGAGACCCGGCCTGCGCCAGGGAATGGGCCACGGCTCATTAGCTCTAATGAAGAGCATTAACGACACCATGGAGCTGGTGAAGGGCCTGGAGCACGAATGTGCTGAGGAACAGCTGAGGGACCTGGGGGGTTCAGCCTGGAGAAGAGAAGGCTCCTGAAAGGGAGACCTGAGAGCAGCTCCAGTGCCTGAAGGGGCTGCAGGAAAGCTGGAGAGGGGCTTGGGACAAGGGATGGAGGGACAGGCCAAGGGGAATGGCTTTAACCTGCCCGAGGGGAGACTGAGCTGAGCTCTTAGGCAGAAGCTCTTCCCTGTGAGGGTGCTGAGGCGCTGGCACAGGGTGCCCAGAGAAGCTGTGGCTGCCCCATCCCTGGCAGTGCTCAAGGCCAGGTTGGACACAGGGGCTTGGAGCAAGCTGCTCCAGTGGAAGGGGTCCCTGCCCGTGGCAGGGGTTGGAGCTGGGTGAGCTTTAAGGTTCCTTCCAGCCCAAACCAGGCTGGGATCCCATGAAATCACCCTGGGAAGGAGGGAGAACAAGGACCAAAACCTTTACCCTGTGTTTGCATCCCACCTCCGGAGGAGGGAATGGGACCAGTGTGATCCCTCCCAGCACAGGGAGCTCCCCAGGTCTCTCCCTCTGCCCTACCTTGAAATCCAAGTTCTTCCCAGTGCGCTCCATAGCGCGGGCAGCCCAGGTGGGAGCGGGTGAGTTTCTTGTAGATGGTCTGCAGGATCCTCATGTGCACGCTCTCGTTGTCATCCAAAGCACCTGGTGGAGAGAAAACACCTGTCAGCACCCAAAACCCACCACTTAGCACCCAAACCCTGCCCATCAGCACCCAAAAGCCACCCCTCAGCACCCAAAACCACCTCTTGGCACCCAAAAACCTGCCCCTTGGCACCCAAAAACCTGCCCCTCGGCACCCAAAAACACCTCTTGGCACCCAAAACCACTTGTCAGCATTCAAAAAGATCACCCCTTGGCACCCAAACCCCACTCCTAGCACCCAAACCCCATCCCTTGCAATACAAAACCCACCCCTTGGCACCCAAACCCCACTCCTAGCACCCAAACCCCATCCCTTGCAATACAAACCCCACCCCTTGGCACCCAAAACCACCGTCCCAGCACCCAAAACCTGCCCCTCAGCACCCCAACCCCACCACTTGGCACCGACACAGAGTGGAGAAAGAACCACCCCCTCCCCAGCAGCGGGGGGAAGCCAGAGCCCTGGACACGAATGGGTGCTGGTGCTGGTGCCAGGAGGACGTCCCGGCCGCGCTCATCCCGCGGGATGGAGGAGGGAAGAGCAGGACCACGTCCCCCGGAGCCACTCACACTGCGCCATGGCCAGCGCCAGCTCCTGCTCCCCCCGCAGCTGCGGCTGGAGCCGGGGGGGCCCGAAGAGGAAGCGGAGCAGAGCAGCCAGGCCCTGCCTGCGCCTGGGCGCACGCAGCTTCCTCTGCAGGGAGAGAACAGCGGCGGATGAGGGATGGGGAACGGGGATGAGGGAGGGAGAGGCAGGAGGGAGCTGCGGGAAGGGCAAAGGGAAGGAGGGAGCTGCCTCTCCCCTCTCCTACTTACTAAAGCTCCCCCCGCGGCGGGGCCCTGCCCGTACCCTGCACTCGCCCAGCTCGGCCGTCTCGAAGAAGTGCAGCGCTTCCCGGAAGGAGATGGGGGCTGCGGGCACCGCCGGCGTCCCCCCGAGCCCTGCGGGGGGCAGAGAACGGGGTCACCCCCCCCCCCCCCCCCCAGCTTCTCCATCCCAGCACGGAGTGAAGGGAACGGCTGAGGGACCGGGGGGGTTCAGTCTGGAGAAGAGAAGGCTCAGGGGGGACCTGATTGCTCCCTACAAGTGCCTGAGAGGAGGATGGAGCCAGGAGGGGCTGGGCTCTGCTCCCAAGGAACAAGGGATGGGACAAGAGGAAACGGCCTCAAGCTGCCCCAGGGCAGGTTTAGATGGAGCTGAGGAACAATTCCTGCCCCGGAGGGTGCTCAAGCATTGGAACAGGCTGCCCAGGGCAGGGCTGCAGTCACCGTCCCTGCAGTGCTCACACACCCCCGGTGCCACGGGTCAGTGGTGGCCGTGGCAGTGCCGGGATAGGGGTTGGACCGGATGATCCCGAAGCTCTTTTCCAGCCCCGCTGACTCCATGATTCCCAGCCAAGAGCTTGCTCCCAGCAGGAGGGTGAGGACTTGAGGAATCCCCCTCCCCTTCCCGCTGGGCTCTTTCCCAAGCTCCCTCCTCTCCCAGCCTTCCCCACCCGCCCCGTATCCCAGCGCCGGCTGTACCTGACTGGATCTCTTCCACAGCCTCCCATTCCTCCCGCGCCCGCTGCAGCTCCTCACTGATCCCTAATGAAAGAAGGGAGGAGGCATCAGAGACCCATGGCGGGGGGGGGATTTGCTGCCTTCTCCCAGGGCTGCTCAGGGCAGGATTCCCCTTCCCTAGGGATAAACCCCAGCTGAAGTGCTGCGGGGTTTCTCTCTGGAAGCTTTATGGAATCGTGGAACGGTTTGGGATGAAGGGACATTAAAGCGCTTGCCACAGGGACTGCTTTAGTGGGAGGCTGCCTGCGGCAGGGGGTTGGAACCGGAGGAGCTTTAAGCTCCCTCCACCCCAAACCATTCCACGACGCCGGGGCAGAGCCAGCGGGATCCACGCAGGGCTCCTGGGGCTCTGGAGCCGCCGGGATAACGCCCTGGAACCGGAGCTCACACTCACCATCACCCGCGGGCGGCTCCGCTCCCTGCACCAGCGCCTGCAGGAGCCCGTTCTGCCCCAGAGCCGAGAGCTGCGGGGGACACGGGGACACCGATCACACACCGGTCACACACCGGTCACACACCGATCACACACCGGTCACACACCGGTCACACACCGATCACACACCGATCACACACCGATCACCCACCGGTCACCCACCGGTCACACACCGATCACCCACCGGTCACCCACCGGTCACACACCGATCACCCACCGATCACACACCGGTCACCCACCGGTCACACACCGATCACCCACCGATCACACACCGGTCACCCACCGATCACACACCGATCACCCACCGATCACACACCGGTCACCCACCGATCACCCACCGGTCACCCACCGATCACCCACCGATCACACACCGGTCACACACCGGTCACACACCGATCACCCACCGGTCACCCACCGGTCACCCACCGATCACACACCGGTCACACACCGATCACCCACCGATCACACACCGGTCACCCACCGATCACCCACCGGTCACCCACCGATCACCCACCGATCACACACCGGTCACACACCGGTCACACACCGATCACCCACCGGTCACCCACCGGTCACCCACCGATCACACACCAGTCACACACCGATCACCCACCGATCACACACCGATCACCCACCGATCACACACCGGTCACCCACCGGTCACCCACCGATCACACACCGGTCACCCACCGGTCACACACCGGTCACCCACCGGTCACCCACCGATCACCCACCGATCACACACCGATCACACACCGGTCACACACCGGTCACCCACCGGTCACCCACCGATCACCCACCGATCACCCACCGATCACACACCGGTCACCCACCGGTCACCCACCGGTCACACACCGATCACCCACCGGTCACCCACCGGTCACCCACCGATCACACACCGGTCACACACCGATCACCCACCGATCACACACCGATCACCCACCGATCACACACCGGTCACCCACCGGTCACCCACCGATCACACACCGGTCACCCACCGGTCACACACCGGTCACCCACCGGTCACCCACCGATCACACACCGATCACCCACCGATCACACACCGATCACACACCGGTCACACACCGGTCACCCACCGGTCACCCACCGATCACCCACCGATCACCCACCGATCACACACCGGTCACCCACCGGTCACCCACCGGTCACACACCGATCACCCACCGGTCACCCACCGGTCACACACCGATCACACACCGATCACACACCGGTCACACACCGGTCACCCACCGATCACACACCGGTCACCCACCGGTCACCCACCGATCACCCACCGGTCACCCACCGGTCACCCACCGGTCACACACCGGTCACCCACCGATCACACACCGGTCACCCACTGGTCACCCACCGATCACACACCGATCACACACCGGTCACCCACCGATCACCCACCGATCACACACCGGTCACACACCGGTCACACACCGATCACCCACCGATCACACACCGATCACACACCGATCACACACCGATCACCCACCGATCACACACCGGTCACACACCGATCACACACCGGAGCGCTCCCCGTCGGGACCGGGACCGGGACCCGGCCCCTGCGAGCGGGCTGGGGCGGGGGGGACACGCACGGGGAGGGACTTGCCGGGCGGGGGGAACCGCTGCCGCTCCTCGGGCCGCTCCGAGCCCCCGGCACCTCCGCTCATGCCCTGCGGGGAGAAGGAACGGGCCCGGCCCGGCCCCTTAGCGGCGGCACCGGGGCGGGGGAGCCCGGGCCCGGCTCCGCCGCCGCGCAGTGCATGCCGGGAGCTGTAGTCCGCCCTGCGTCACCCGCAGGACTACAGCTCCCAGCAGGCACCGCGCAGGGCGGGGACGGCGGCCCTGGAGGGTCAAACCGCACGGAAGGCGCGATGGCCGGTCCCGGGGCTCGGTGCCAGCGCTCAGCGGTGCGGTGCCTCCCGAGGGCGGAGCGGGGTCCCGGTGCTCCGCAGCAGAAGGTGCCGGCGCCATGGGGCTGTACGCGCTGCTCTGCCTCGCCTCCTTCATCCTCCTTCCCCTCCTCTCCCTCGCCTGGCTCCTGCTGCGCTCCGGCGGCGGCCCCAGCCCCTTCGCTGCCGATGCCCGGCGCCCGCCGGCCCCGCTCGTCACCGACAAGGCGGTCCGCAGGACGGTCGTTAAGACAGGTACGGGAACCCCCCCCCCCCCCAGCAGCACCTCCGGTACCCCTGTGGGATCCCTCCAATGACCCGGTGCCACCCCTTCATCCTCCAGTGGGACCCCCAGAACACCCCAATGGGACCCCTCCAGTACCCCGCTGGGACCCTCCATTCCCCAGTGGGCCTCCCCCCATAGGACCTCCAATCTCCCTGTGGGACCCGCAGTCTCCCATGGGACCTCCCAGTCCCCGGTGGGACCTCAACATCCCCCCGTGGGACACCCAATCCCAGGTTGGACCCCCCCCAATCCCCAGTGGGACCCCCCCAGTGCCCAGTGGGACCTCCCTAATAACCCTGTTGGACCCTGCATCCCCCCCCGGGAGCCCCCATCCCTCAGTACAACCCCCCAGTCTCCCAGTGGGACCCTCCAAACCCCCGTGGGACCCCTTCATCCTCCAGTGGGACCCTCTCCCAATACCCCAATGGGACCCCCCCAAACCCCAGCGTGACCCCCAAATCTTCAGTGGGCCCCCCCCCAAATACCTCAGTGGGACCCTCATTCCTCTGTGGGACCCCCACATAGGACCTCCAGTCACCCTGTGGAACCTCCCAATCCCCAGTTGGACCCCCAAATCCCCAGTGGGACCCCCCAATACCCTGGTGGGACCTCACCATCTCCCAGTTGGACCCCCAATCCCCAGTGAGACCCCCCCCAGACCCCAGTGGGACCCCCCTGATCCTCAGTGGGACCCCTCAGTGCCCAGTGGGACATCCCTAACACCCCAGTTGGACCCTGCATCCCCTGGTGGGAGTCCCCCCTCCCTTAGTATGACCCCCAGTGGGACCCCCAATCCCTTATGGATCCCCCCCATCCCAGCTCCACTGGGTCTGTGTCACCCCTTGGAGGCATCTTCCCCCCCCACCTCCCAGCACAGCATCACCCTCTGGACCAGCATCACCCCCAGCACAGCTGGGCATTGCCCACAGCGGTTCCATCACCCCCCAGCACAGATTCAGAGGTCACCCCTGCGTACCCTGCGCATGCCCTGGGGGGGTGCTGCATGCCGCCACTGAAGATGCTCCCTGTGTGTGTGTGTGTGTGTGTGTGTTCTGTGCCCCCCAGTTTTCTCTGCAGACAAGGTGCCAGAGCAGCTCGATGCCATCGTGGTGGGCAGCGGCATCGGGGGCCTGGGAGCCGCGGCACTGCTGGCCAAGGCGGGCAGGCGGGTGCTGGTGCTGGAGCAGCACGGGAAGCTGGGGGGCTGCTGCCACACCTTCACCGAGAAGGGCTTCGAGTTTGACACCGGTATGGCCCCATAGCAGGGATCGCATCCATAGCCCTGTGGTGGGGATCACATCCATAGCCCCATGGTGGGGATCGCATCCATGGCCCCGTGGTGGGGATCGCATCCATGGCCCTGTGGTGGGGATCGCATCCGCAGCCTCGTGGCACTCCCCTGGCTCCCAGCCTTGGTTATACAAGTGCTTTTCCGCCTGAGCACGCGATATCCTGTGGGTTCCACACCCCAAAAGCCTCCTGCCAGAGGGCAAGGCAGGGCCGCTCACACCCCTAACCCCAACCCCTCGTGATACTCGATGGACCCAGCCCATGTCTGTAGAATTCCCCATAGACTGGGTTGGGTTAAAGGGACCTTAAAGCTCCCTCAGCTCCAACCCCTGCCACAGGCAGGGACCCCTTCCACTGGAGCAGCTTGCTCCAAGCCCCTGTGTCCAACCTGGCCTTGAGCACTGCCAGGGATGGGGCAGCCACAGCTTCTCTGGGCAACTTGCGTGTTCAACTGTGTCCCAGGGATATCACCTGAGGGCATATTCCCTTGACAAAGCCTTTCCGGCAAGACAAAGTCCAGCCCTGCATCATTAATGTTCGGGATTAATGATTTACAGCAAGACAGGCAGGAAAAAACAGCCACGCAGAACAGCGTTCCCAACCGCTGCTGAAAACCATGGCATCGAGCACTTTCCCCATTGACCTAAAGCGGTGGGAGGGTGTTTCCCAACTTTTCCCATTCCCCTCCACATGGAAAAATAAGAGGAGGGTCCTCGTGCATCCTGGGGGCATGAAAACAAGGGAACCCCCCCGTAAAACAAAGGGAAACCGCATCTTCCAGGTATCCACTACGTGGGGCGGATGCAGGAGGGCACCAGCCTGCGCTTCCTGGTGGACCAGCTGACGGAGGGGCAGCTGGAATGGGTCCCGCTCCCGCCTGCGTTCGACGCCGTGGTCCTGGGGGAGCCCGGCAGAGCCAGGACCTATCGGCTCTATTCGGGGCGGGAGGGCTACTTCCAAGGCTTGAAGCAGCAGTTTCCCGGGGAGGCGGCTGCCATTGAGGAGTTCGAGCGGTTGGTGAAGGTAAAGGGGGCTTTGCCTTCACCTGGGGGGATGGTTTTGGCTCTGGTCGCCCCCCAGCACTCAGCTATGGGGCAAGTGCACGTGCTGGTGTGGCACAACCTGCCCCTGCCCGGCCCTATCTCCCCTTCCTGCCTCAAAACCCTGGAGTTTGACCTCCCCTCCCTGAGGATGCTCATGGTCCCATGGGGTGCGCTGGGACACCCATGAGCTCCAGCACCTCCATGGGGTGGTGCTCCAGGACTTCCCCATGGGGTGATTGCAGTCCTTATCGAACCAGTGCTGCAGCAGTGTCAATTGTGCCTTGAAACCCTCACCACAGGGAGTTCTATGGGGGGAGGAAACGCTCCCTGTGCCCGAAGCAACTCGGGATGCTGTTGTCTTTGCCAGCCAAGCAGTGAACTGGATAGAATCGTGGAATCCCAGCCTGGGTTGGGCTGGAAAGGACCTTAAAGCTCACCCCAGCTCCAACCCCTGCCACGGGCAGGGACCCCTTCCACCGGAGCAGCTTGCTCCAAGCCCCTGTGTCCAACCCGGCCTTGAGCACTGCCAGGGATGGGGCAGCCACAGCTTCTCTGGGCACCCTGTGCCTCAGCACCCTCCCAGCCCCTGGAAGGGGCAGAGATGCCCCCGAGCCTGTCCTGAGCAGGCTCCTCCGTCCCGCAGAGCGCCAGCAGAGGGGTCCCGCTCCTGGTGCTGCTGAAGGTGGTGCCTCGGGCGCTGGCAGCGCTGCTCTGCCGCTCGGGGCTGCTCCCCCGGCTCTGCCCCTTCCTCCGCCTGGCGTCGCGCAGCCTCAAGGACGTGGTGGCCGCTCTGACCCCCAACCGGGAGCTCAGGGCCGTCCTCAGCTACATCTTCCCCACCTACGGTAGGTACCAGGGCGCTCCCTGCTCCTCCCCGTTTCCCACATCCCGCATCCGCCCTTCCCTGCAGCGCGCCCAGGGCTTTCCTCGTCCTCGCACCTTCAGGAGGAGCCACAGATCCCCGCGGTTTGGCACAAGCTCACCCGACCTTTCTCACCCCTTTCTCCAGGCGTGGTGCCCTCCAAGGCCAGCTTCTCCATGCACAGCATCCTGGTGGACCATTTCCTCTGCGGCGCATGGTATCCCAAAGGAGGGGCTGGGGAAATCGCCTTCCACACCATTCCTGTTATCCGGAAAGCTGGAGGCAATGTGTTTGGAAGGGCACCAGTGCAGAGGATCCTGCTGGACTCCCAGGGCAAAGCCTGTGGTGAGCATGGGATGGGGCGCCCGTGGCTGCTCCCTGCTGTGGCGTTGCTTTGAGCCATTCCTCCCTCTCCCACCTTTCCCTTCCAGGTGTGAGCGTTAAGAAGGGTCAGGATCTGGTGAACATCTTTGCTCCCATCATCATTTCGGATGCCGGGATCTTCAACACCTACGAATGGCTCCTGCCGGCAGAGGCGCGGGCATTGCCCGGTACCCCAGCACCGTCGGGCTTGGGTTGGGTTTCACTGGGCTGATGGTGTTAATCCTGCTCCGAGCCACAGCAGAATCCTTCGGATTGGTCCTTAGTCATCCTCAAACCTTGTTGCTCATGTTCCAAACACCACCCCTGGCCGGGCATTTCACCACAGGGGTTTTAGTGCAACCGAAATGAGCTCACCCAACCTGGTCATGGTTAGCAAAGCCTTGGCTTTGCTGCTCCATCTCCCTAAAAACCACAGCAGAGCACCCAAACCATGGGGCAGTCGGTGGAACGTCCACGTAAGGTTGGGTTTAGTGGTGCCACGAAGTCTTCGTGCTGCTTTGGAAGGGGCACGGTTGGGTGGGAGCGTTGTGGGCACCCATATGGTTGGTCTCCAAGCACTCAACAGCTGCAGAATTGGGTTCAAGGAATCCAAGAGATGAGTCAGTTCTAGAGGCAGCAACGGAGGTAGGAGTGGGGCTGCTTCTAGGAGAAACCACCTCTCTGTTGCTGAGGATCCCAGGGAATACTGATTTTCCCCTTCTTCCCTCCGTATCCAGAGATCCAGTCCCAGCTCCGCATGGTGACACACGGCGAAGGGGGTTTCACCATCTTTGTAGGTCTTAATGGCTCAAACGAAGAGCTGGGGCTGGAGCCCACCAACTACTACATATATCAAGGACATGACCTGGATGAAATGTAGGTTTGGCTTCACCTTGGATGTGCTCTGTTAAGCATAAAGAGATGAGTTCCAGGGTGGTGACGCAGCAAA